TCCGAATGCCTATTCAAAATGGATCCTTCAAGCTACAATTTTTCACCTGGGATGCCCGGCACCCAGACATGAGCCGGTGGGAACATCTTGTGAAGCCCCGCACTTGGCTGTATTGGGATTCACGCAAATCTGGCACCTTCCGCCGAACAAAGCAATGGAACAGGTGAGAGTCAGCAGTTCTGGTGATCAATCCCACTGTACCATGATTACTGTAGACGGGCCGCGGATATGACGCTTATGACTTGGTACGATGTCCCGTAACACTTGTTTCAACACTTCGTACAGACGTTTGTGTAGATCTTGGCGAATTCGACCAGAAAGGCTCCGTTGCCACAAGGTGGGAACAAAGGAAGACCTTTCGAGAGCTTGTGATGCTGCAAGGCAATGATAGTAGCATGCGGTGGAATTTTAATCATTTTACGGGTCAGTCCGCGTTGGACCTTCTTTGCTTCTATCACTGAAATCATTGAAGGGTTGGACTGGGATGAGCTCGCGCAAACCAAGGGTGTATTTCGCATTTGACAATCACGAGTGAGTGCTCGCACCAAATATCTACTTTTCCATGAGTGACTGTTTCTTGTAATAGCACGGTAAGCAAGCGTTTGATGACTTCAAACGATTTAGCCAATGATTGGTCCAGCAATTTGGCCAGTCTCTGGGGAGCTGGGTAAGCCGTTCGCACTTCTGTTTTAATCACTTTCGATCAATTTAAATTAGGTGGACACCGATTTCAAAGCTCAAGTACGGTACGCCCTCATCCTACTGCGATGTCACGGATATCCGTATGTGCTATCCGAGTCTTGCTGAAACACCGGCCATGGCACGAATGTCATGGCAGATGTGTTTTCTATGGTGACCTGTATCCCAATGATGAGTGCTTTGACGAGGGCACCTCTCGCACTCTGAAAAAGTTACTTCTCGCACGGAGATCTGCACGGAAATTGTTCGCATATGGACCTATGGTAGATTACTTCGAACACAGAAACTGTATTGGATTCGTGCGCATGGGCGATTCCGATCATGCTGGGTGTGTAGTTGTGCTCAGTAATGACCCGATCCAAGTTTCTTCGTGTCTTTTACACATGCTCATCTGTTGATCGCTTCCTCGATCAACTAGTATCTGCTGGCCCCGGTACGTGTCCTGAGCTTCCACACCTACTTTTTCTCACTATATCTGCTTCTGGCCACCAGATGACCTAATCCACTCTCCATGTTTCCTCATCGCATGGTTCCGATTTTTCCAATGCAACCTACTACTAGTTCGATCGATCATCCGGTGAGTGCTATGTCAACGTCATCTGCGATATCCTATCCAGGCAATCGTTTTTGCCGAACAGTAGATGACTTTGCTAACGATCATTTTTCCTAAATAGGGTTTGTGTAAGCGGTTTAATATCCGTGCTAGCGTCATTTATTGGTCCCAATGAACATATAAAATGCGAGCTGGTAAGTTCTATTCCTCACTCGTGCTTTGCCCTCATTCCTTGACTGTTTCATTCGTTCCCTAGGTCAACCTATTTGCCTTTTCATCTGTCTCTATGTCGCAAGTCGAGGGCAGCATGTCGTACGTCGAGGACCAGCAGAACGAGGGCAGCACGTCGCACACCGAGGGCAGGCAGGACGGAAGCGACATTCAACCTCAACAATCTCAAGCAGCAGTAGCACACATGCAAGGTTTACAAAAACGCAGAATCGCTCAACTGGAGGAGAAACTGGAGGCTCTAGAGTCCGGGCGCGCAGTCAAAGAAAGGCATGACTGCTATCGTACTCATTAAATTACCTTGCTCACCATCTGTCAGGCAAACAAACTGGTACGCGGCTAAGGGAAGAGCAATCAGACGTGTCGTCGCCCTGTTCGATAGTATCGAAGACCTCGTCGCTGAAAATGACAGAAGATACGATGACGATGACCAAGATACTACCGTCGAGTAAGTGTTTTGCCCTCGGTTCATGCATGCTATTCATTGATATCGTTGCATAGTCAAGATCGGTTACAGATAGGTTACACCACCCTAACCAGAACTTTACCGTGGTTTCATAAAAAGGGTGCAGAGATGGAGTACGATGAATACCTGCATATGGTAAAGATGGTTTGTCTTTTAACAATGTCAACGGTCGTATCATGGTTGAGCCTTTGTGTAGCTTCGACAGGGGGCTGACGGTGCGCGAGGAGATGACACCTCGAAGCTGAAGACTCTTGTTTCAGAATGGGTCAATCGCGAGTTCAAGCCGGTTTCGCCCATTAACCACGACGATAAGCATTCGCGTGGATTTGCCCATGATGTGTGTGGCAGGTTACTCTGTCCGGCGGAGCTGGATTGGGACAATCCAGAGTAAGTAGTGCACTCGCTATCTCGAGACATAACACTCACTAGATAACCAGGGTAAGGGCAGGGATTCGACATCGCTCAGATGGCTATATCGTCACAGATCTGTCTTTTCCTACCTTCTTGTATGACAAGTACACCGCCGATCCGAATAATTTTGAGGAGGGTCTTTTCAAGGGCAAACTTCTTATTCAGGTTTGTTGCGCCCGAGTATTCTGACAGAAAACTGACTTACTATGTTTGCAGGGCTACAAAGCCGTGTTTACCTCACCCTCATCAGCGAAGGACGTTGAAGGCGACGGCGACGGCGCAGATATCATCAGCAACAACCGACGGGCTAAGAAGTCTTTTTCTGGAATCAAGGTGAAGAAACACGTAGCCCAAATCATCCACATGGACAAAGTCACCCCACGCTCGATCGCATACATCGCATGTCAGGTAAGTTGCAATGTTTGGTCAGATTTATGACACTCACACTGGCAGGTCCGGTTCGCACTTTCTTCTGTAACTTCGTGGCGGTCCATGGACGGTGACTTCGACTATCTACAATTCTGGCGAAGCATCGTGGACTTCTTCGAAAAAGCCCCTGGTCGAGAAGCACATCGCAGGATAGAAAGACTCCTCGAGTGGTGGACTAGGTACGTTATTCACACTCCAAATCAAGCCTTGCCTGAAATGTGTCTAGAAAGGTTTTTGGAAGGAATCGCCGAGGCGAACTCAGTGATGCAGCAAAGGCTAATATGTCCGTTAATGCTCTCGCAAGGCAGAGAGAACGATTGGATGATGCCGCATTTGATTCACCCTAGATATACCATATGATACTAGATCTCTTACAATCGTAGTCTACCTTGTTTGCCCGGTGCAAAATAAATTTTATGTCGTGATTTAACAAGAATTGTTCCTGTCCATCAATACCCTCACATGTTATGTAGTAATCGCATGAATAGCACCATTAATGCTCAACAGAACGAATTTAGAAGATATAGCAGTCGTTTGTGGACCGCCCGCTTGTGCTTGGTGGGCTGAATCTAGGACAGAAGTTTGCTAGTTCGAAGAGCTTATTTCAGATAAATAATATTGCCTCCTAAACCGTCACGGTCTCAAATGTCTGCTTAGGAATTCCACCTGTAGTGCGCAAAGACACCCGACGGTGTTTGGTAGGCTCAATCCAGGACGGAAAGTTGCTGGTTAGGAGAGCTTGTTTCAAATGAATCATGTTGCCCGGTGATTATATTATCACCTCATTGAGGACCTATACCACCGCGGTCTCATATGCCTGCTTAGGAATTCCACCTGTAGTGCGCAAAGACACGCGATGGTGTTTGGTAGGCGCAATCCAGGACGGAAAGTTGCTGGTTCGGAGAGCTTGTTTCAAATAAATCATGTTGCCCGGTGATTACATTATCACCTCATTGAGGACCTACACCACCGCGGTCTCATATGTCTGCTTAGGAACTCCTCCTGTAGCACGCAAAGACACGCGATGATATTGATGTGTTGTATACTGTGCGTGTTTGTTTTCGACACGCTGAATCCAGGAAGCAGAGCACCACCTTTGCAGACTAAGCATTTTTTGAATTTTGCGCCGGCAGTACGTTACAATTATGAATGACCTCAACAACACAATTCTAGCTGCACCTTGTGCAGTCCTTTGTTTGTTTTTGACACGCTGGATCCAGGACGTAGATACGATCGATCTCCAGAGCACCATTCAAGTCCTAGTGGGCGGATCACTCTGTTTAAGTTGGATAGGCTGCATCTAGAAAATAGAGTGCAGGTTTCATGGTCGTTGTGTATTTTAGCTTCGTGTTGAGAGGATGTTACCGAGATCGCAGATGCGCAGGTGCAGCAATCCTCCAGTATGGCGCAGAGATACCCAATTACACTGATACGTACACAATATATAAGATGCCTGTCAAACGGTAAGTGTGACATTAAGGTAAGCCATGGCCCACCATTGTCAAGCCCTGAGCTAAGATAGTGATCGTAAAGATACAGCACTGGTGCTAAGCTACAGATTCTTGGGAAGTAGCACAAATGTGCTACAGCTGTCAGTCGTTAAAAATTCATGGAAGGTTATGTAGAGGTTCGAACCAGGACATAGATTGATTGTCGCCTGCTCTGTGAACACACCGCAGCTGGTGAGTAAAGGTAACGCTTCTTCCCACGAATTCCCAGCCAATGTAAAGCAGATGGTCATTAGATAATCCAAAAAAAGACTGACCAAAATTTGATGCTGAGGACGGGGGCATCAAAATATCAAGGAGAATATGAATCAATCGTTGCTCGCATGACGAAAACATCGTCACTCTCTGGAAAGTGCTTGCCATCAGTGATACGTCGTTAGTTGTCCCATGATTGATGAACATCAAGCATTTCAAACGGATAGTGTGGTCACTCGCTCGTTGAACGCATTGTTGTTCTTTGGCCGAGGAGAAAATGAGTTACTCGTTGCTCGCGTGATCAACACATTTTCACTCTCTGGAAGATGCTTACCATTAGTGTTACCTCGTCAGTTGTCCCATGATCGACGAACATCAAGCATTTCAAACTGATGGTGTGGTCGCTCGCTCGTTGAACGCATTGTTGTTCTTTGGAAGGTGTTGGCCTTCCCGCTTAGCTTTCAAGTTACGGAAATCACTTCCAACACGACGGTTATGAGTCGCCCGGCTTGACCGTTATATTTACAGAAAATTCATGCATTGTCGCTGATCGGTTAACACGTGGTTGTTTTTAGGACGGTGCTCACGTTCATGTTTAGTTTCGCCATTGTGGTCCGTATTTCCAACATGGCAGTTGAAATCCATTTGGCTTGTTCGTCAGCGTTTGCTCCACTTGCCTTTGAAGTCTGAGCTTCAGTGATATGAGAATCATTTCCCGATCACGAACTGGTGTAGGAACATTAGAAACACGTCTTTCCGGTATAAGGCCAAATATTATAATGTGATGGTCGATAACAAAATTATGCCGATGCTTGTGATTATGGACTATATATCGCTATATATGTCATTCTCATTTGTTCACCAGTTCTCTGATGTATGTCTCTGGGTGACGACGGTAACATTTCTCTATGAGGTCGAGAGAATCTGACACTACAAGACCCACTACACAATGCAGCGTTAACATTCATGCATTGTTACAAATGACCCGAGAAGCACGAACAAATTACTGGCAACAATCCTGCAGATGCTTACACGTGCCATTGGCGGAGTCATGCTCAATACCTATATTCGTATTGTCAACTCGTAAGTAAATTGGCTCAAGAAGGAGTGAGCTAACCCGACGAGTTTCCCGAAGCCGATAAGGCTGAAATGAGACAGGCCTTTCCATGTCTTGCGAATCTGAGGGTCACGCGGCGCTCCAGCAGGCTTGTCTATCAAGACCCAATATTTGAAGATGATCACTGCAAGTGGTTCCGAACAGAAGGTGAACTTACGCTGATCACAGTACCGACTAGCGCTAACAGCCCAACTGGTACAACCTTCAGCTGCACAACGCTCAGCCATAGTGATTTGTATGATATGGTATGATGTTGAGAATAACAGTGATAACAAGATCAGTCTGCCTTCATGCATGTGGATTGATCACATTATTTATATGGCAGCGGAGTGGGGCACGCCACATCAGGGAAACGTAATTCATTACACATGGTTACAGAGTGCTACGGAGCGCTCCGTAGCACGATCTAACCCGCTGATGCCATACCTCGATAGTGCCAAAGTTTCTGCCGTGCGCCACTCGAGCCCTGGGTCAAGGTATTCCCATCGCCATAGGTTCCTATCTCGTTAGTGACTCAGTACTCATTGAGTGCGGCTGGTACCGTTGCCCAGACGTATCAGGTTGTTTTTGGAATTTTCAATTTTAGTGTGAGATACTTTTACGCCGTTTTACCGTCACGTGACGTCCGGGTTCGGCCGGATTTCTGGAACCCTTCTGCTTTTGGGGGGAGGCAAGTCTTTGTGTGTCGCTTTGCATTCTTTCTAACCAAATATTAGTTTGTTATTCTAGATCTACTATTAAGTCATCTGTCGTTCCAAGGATGCAGGTCAATAATAGTGAAGACAAGAACTTTGAGGATAGATATTATACACGCCATTCAACAAATCCTAGCGGGTGAAACCAAGATAAAGACTGTCATAAGTCTTTCCTGCTGTACTGTACTGCAAACAGGCCTTCTACAGCATGTTTTTCAGCTCCCAAGGATGATCATAAAGTGAGACAGACAGCGTGAGAGTAGAGATAGGCATTTAAGTGTGTCAGCTCTTGGGCCAGGTGAAATTGATGCGTGTATGGTCATGACAGGCCTGTGACACTGTAATAAATTCTAAACAACTTTGAATTTTAGTTAATGATCAACATACTAGTATGAGTGTCTGCCTACGTGTGTACAGGCTCTATAGTGCTGTATTCACTTCTCACCAAATTTGTGGTGCTTGTCCTCTGTCCACACTACTAGTATGCATCTTTCCTGTATTGTTGTATCACCTCTAATCCGTTCATCTATGTTGGTTTTCAGATGGAGTGTCAAGTGTTGTCCCACCTCATCAAGCCTCGACCTCCCTGTCAAGTTCGATCCATTCTCTATACTCTGCACCACCACGTCAAGCCCCAACCATGGCATGTCAGAAGCCTCATTTAGGCTGGGTCAAGCACCACTCACACCATGACAAGTCTGGAGATCAGAGTTGATGCGCAGATAGAATCTAACAGGTAAGATTAGTCTCAGTCTCTGGAAACAGAAACTGAGACACTCGTCTGCATGGGCACTAGACTTTATACTGTAAGTAGTATTTTCTTATTGAATATATTAGAATGAAACATTGTTACCCTGCCGGTTTGGGGCCAACATCAGCTCTCTCTTGTTCCTGCCCATTGTCTTTGCTCGCACCCTACTTGTCATCGTGTACCTCGGCTTCAGGTCCCTCGGTCTTCTTTGACTTGGACAATTTGGACAACAACAACAACAACAACAACAACTTCTCCCAAGTCCCAAACACCCACAGTCTCTGTACGAGTATCAACATCCACACTCTATGCCGCACCAAGGCCTGCTATCAGTGCCAGGTCAACCATAGCACATACCACTGTAAAGATACAACAATTGCGGACTGGCTGGAGGAGTGGTATACTGGTGCCATGCACACAATCACCAGTGTGAAGCAGAACATCTGCAAGGTCATCGCCATAGAGTTCTACCGGTGCGTCACACTGACTTCAAGTTCAAGAGGTGGTGCTTGACCTTGGCTGTGACTCAGATTCACGTTGCTCCTCTTCTGACAGGCTGCACAGAGATGACAGAGTGTTTTCTAGAAGTTCAAAGCGAGCAGACGATGGAGAGCTAACAAGTATAATCTCAGTCTGTTGAAACGGACTCTTTACATTGAGGAAAGTACCTAACAAGTATACTACAACGTGTTAGTTCTGTTTTGTCAATGGTAGGTAGAAATATGATACTCACATCTCAGTCTGTTGAAATGGACTGAGATGTTGCTACAAAAACATTGAGTGTTTTAAGTGCGGGTAGAGTAGGAAAGAAAATTGTAAGTAAATATTGCTGAGCACGATCCGACGTCAAATGTCGCTCGTTCATTGCTCTTTCGGGATGCGCTCGTACCAGTCTACTCCCTCATCGTTCCTATCTCGGATCCATTGGCCAAAGTCTCTTCAGATCGCTCGGAGTTCAACATGTTTCTGGAGGAGTACCCTGAAGCAAACTGTGGGGCCAAGCCACTCTTCGATGCAATCCAGTGCCGGCACAAGGCACACAGAGAAATCACTGCCAGATGAGCGAGCAAGAACAGCTGGCCAGAGGTCCGAGCATCCGCCTCACGCTGACAATCACAACCTGCATTCAGTCTTCCTGACTCGGAGTTGATAGAGGAAGCCTCGTCCATCCATGCACGCACACACTGATCCATAGCACAACCATTCAAGACTCATGGACATTTCACCACCCCCACACACGCATGCACACAAACTAGCTTCGAAGTTCTGTCTCTTAGTACTAGCACTGTCCTCCTCATAGATTTGTTTTTTTGTCGTGGATTCACACACAGCTGGCAGGACTCAACAAAATAATTTGATTTGTTTGGCAAATCGTTCGTCGAAAGGAACTCGAAACATAGATTGCATTGGCCGGCGATGAGAAAGAATGCAAAGCGGCACGCAAAGACTTGCCTGCCCCCAAAAGCAGAAGGGTTCCAGAAATCCGGCCGAACCCGGACGTCACGTGATGGTAAAACGGCGTAAAAGTATCTCACACTAAAATTGAAAATTCCAAAAACAACCTGATACGTCTGGGCAACGGTAGGCTGGGAACGTTGACCCACACTGACCAACATATTTGCCATCAAGTACTGATGCGCCCTGCACATCAATCACTGAGCGCTGGTCCCCGAATCATTTTGGATCGCTCGGTGGGAATTGCACAAGCTTGAGGCATTTCTTATTGGATGTGAGTCACTGGCATTAATAGCGATTATGGGCTGCTGATGCGTGATTGATTGATATCATAGATGTCTTCGACTTCGACCGCCCATATGCATGTCAATTGTACTAGAAAAATATTATAGGCAAAGGCGTTCTAAAGAGAAACTTTTCCAAGTTGGTAATGACTCATTTCAATCTAATAATAAAAAAGTCTCGATTCGAGACCAGAAAAAATGAAGAGCGGCTACGTGTACTTATAGAGTGCCAATTCACGATAAGGTCCGTTACAACGCCAAATATCAGGTAGGATTACAATGTATGACGGGGAGGTCTCAGCTAGTGCAGGACTTGATTGTCCAATAAAGCCTGAAGAGCATGTTCGGACTGATAGATCCGCAAAGCATCAGGACGCCATGTCTCCCACTCCCAAGATTCGTTTCCCAACAACTGAAACAGTCCCTTCATATGTGGCTTGCATGCCTCGGGACGATCACCATTGTCAAGGATGAATGAGATTCGGTGATAGGCACGTCCATGACGAACACACAACGCCATATCTGACCGACCAAGCGAGTCGAATATCCTCGCGAGTTCCTCTTCATCCTGTGACAGAAGGTTATTGCCATTATCGAATTCGAGTGGCAATAGCATCAGAGGCGCAGCAAACGCGAATGATTTCGCGACAACTTTTGACCACTCCCAATCAATGATGCCAATGACATCAAGCTGGTCGTTGACGAGTATGTGGTCACCTTTGTCATCTTGATGGCGCAGACAAAATAAATCACTGTTCATCGATTCGGCTGACAGGATGCGAGGATAGGCATCCAGCACAGTGCGATATATGAGGTAGGATGTCACAGGATCACTGACAGCCCACTGAGAAGATTCGATGAGGCGAAGATAACAACCAATTGTGTGATCTAGGTGTTGACGAAGGCTGGTGAACGGCCCCAGTAGGTCAAGTCTCTGGGAATAATTCGGTTCAAATATCACGCGATCCGCAAATGCGCCGATAGACGCATGCGGCTGAATAATAGAACCGGATTGTCGAAACGAATGATGATCTAGTGTGATGAAGATGTTGGCTAGTTGATGGAGTACCCGACGACGCTGGTCGGAACCTAAATCGTACCATTTAAGCGGGGAAGCTTGCAGCTTATCCATCAGGATATAGTTGACGTCGACACCATTTGGATCAGCTGTTATGCCATATCCGTGAACGACAGGAGTTGGCACTCCAATGCGGTTAAGATACAGCAATGTCGCGAATTCACTGAGCAAAATGTGGTTTTGCACAGCTGGGGGAGGTGTGACTGCAGTTGTTCGTTGAATGCGAGCGAGCCAGACGACATTATCATCAAATAAGATATCGAGATGAACGTTCATTCCCCCCATCATCTTCGAAAGCTGAGGGCGGTTGGCTGTAGTTGCGACGAGAGCTGGAATGGTGCACGGGATATCATTGCGAAGAGATGATGCAATGTTCGCTAGCTGAATGGGATCGATGCGTTGTTGAAGCGTCACAAGTTCAAAATTTTCTGTCTTCACGAAGGCTTTGCAAAACGCATCCCAGTCCTAGGATCCATTGATTGAGCAGGAAAATGAAAGAGTGGCTTGGACTAACATCTTCGCTCTTGGGGCAATCGTGAAAAGGAGGACTTTGGTGTTTTGAACAAAGGCGACGGTGACAGCAACCCATAGCAATACTGTACCTGACTGGTGCATTATGGCAGTCAAGAATATCGCAAGTGAGCATCTTTAAAGCAAACATAGCTACTCCCCAGACTCCTACCCATCGGCAGTGTGTTGAGAGTACATCCGAGTGCCGCCACACAAACCAAATACGACCAACAATAATTCAAACAGCGCAACTTTGGACTCTGTCGGAAAAAACTAAGTTGACTTGGCATGCCTTAAAAGGCAATGGAAGGGCGCAATTTGCCGCCGGCATTACGAGTGACTTGGAATGGGACCCGAACTTCTGGAAGTCCCTTGGAAGGGACACCCGGCACCTTCCAAGATGTACCCAAGGTCATTCCCTTATGGCAGTGAAATTTTCAATGAAATACTTTGTGGGCTCCTTCCAAGGGCGTGCACGTGATTCCAATGGTTCCCAAGATATTCTTAGTCCCCAAGGTATTCCAATATCCTCCAAGGTATTCTAATGTCCTCAAGATGGTCACAAGGAATTTTAAATAAATTGATAAAAATTGCAGTATTGAATGTTACAAATAATAATTACAATCAGGACACATTGTCTACTACTGCGAACGGCGGGCACCAACTTGGATCAGCGTGGCTCGAACTCGAAGGAGGATTGATGGACTCCCGAACTGCGAACGGCGGGCACCAACTTAAATCAGCGTGGCTCGAACTCGAAGGAGGATCAATGGACTCACGAACTGCGACTCCCCATCCAGAGCCGAGTCTACATGCGCTGTGTGCGAGTGAGAACGAGAGTGTGAAGAGCAATAATGAGTGCCGCCTCTCATCCTTTTCGTATCTTTGGCGTCCTGGTGTTGTCCGTGAGTGTTCGCGCCACGTCAGCACTTGCTGGCGTGCGTTGGGCGTTTGCGCATGGCGCTGGTGGCATTGGATGCAGCGAGGTGGTCATTGGTGGTGGTGGTGTTGTTGATAGCCGATTGAGCATCTTCATATGTCTGCACCCACCTCAAGAACTCGTCTTCCTCGAGCACTCTATAACCAATGCAGAGCGTGCGCAAACCACCATTAGCGAAAAAGTCCATGTCCTTGGTCGTCTTCTCCTTCAAAGCAGGGTCCACATCCTTGGCAAGCCGTTCGTATATGACGCTGTCTGCTCCTTTGCAGTATAAGATGAGGCGTCCATCTGATGCACGGACGATGACGCTCATGCGCTTACGTGCGCCAGAGAACTCAAGTGTCTTCATATGTGTGAACCGTTCAGGTTGGCCAAGCACTTCAATGTCAATTGTGTCCCTCTGCTTGCCCACAAAAGGAAAGCCAACATCCCGTGCAGCAGCAACCAACGCCGCCTCATCTGGAGACTCAGCCTTATACTCCAAGTGATAAGGGCGCTCCTGTGGCTCAGGCTTATCTGCCAAGACCGAGTGGCACACAGCCAAGGCACGGAAAAACACGACAATTGAGAATACTGTTCCGTCGAGCGGTCTGCGAGGTCCTCTGCAAGCTTGGGCGAAACGAGCGTGAGTTTGGAACGGGAGGCTCAGGGCTCAGGGAGTGTGAGCGTGACGGCCCGGCAAATGTTTGGCTGCTTATTTCTCCTGATGAATACTTGTAGAACGAGGGTGGTATGGGCGAGGGCGCAGGGATGTCAGATGGCGAGTAGTAAGAGGGACTGGGCGAGACACTATCTTCCATGTTGTAGGGATTTGGTAGAGCGGCCTGGGGGACCAGCTCGATAGCATCTGTGTCATTGTTGTCAGGACTTTAAAACAAAATAAAGCTGTAATCATATAGATAGGTTGCGTCGAAGCTTTCAAAAGTGTTGTCAGCTAGTGCATATAAACCAAGAACAGAAACTCACTAGCAAAATGGCATAAACCAAAACATGGCCAACGTCCAGATAACGTTCTGAAGCGACAAATTAACGGCAGGTACAATCAAATAAAATCGTGCAACATACCTTGTAAAAGAAATTACTATGCATATCAGCAATACGCTGGTACGACCACCTCCCATGGACGAGCAGCAACTTCGTCAAAAACCTGAATTGACCAAAGGCATAATCGGCAGACTCCTGGCCTGAGTTTCTTTCAGGCCCAAGCCCTGGCTTTCAGGCCAGGCCAGGCCCGATGCATCACTAGACAACATGAAAAATCCCACTTACCAATCTCGATCGCGGTCTGGAGTTTGTCGCCTGTGAGGATCCAAAGCTTGATTCCCGCACGAGGGAGTGGCTGGAGACAGCCAGTGCGAGGGAGTGGCTGGAGACACTCAATGGGAGGGAGTGGCTGGAGACACTCAACGGGAGGGAGTGTATTGCGTGCCGACACGAGCGAGCTACATAATAATTAGATGCCACCCGAATTGCATGCTCTTAGCATCTGTAGCGACGTGAGTCTGAGTACCTGATGTAGCTACTACTGGACTTGCCAGGCTGCGGTCAGCCTTTGATTGGCAAGCCATCCACGGTCAGGATGCCCGAAGGTCTGAGTAGTTTGAATCAGGGGAGACAAGACGACGTTCAATGCAACAGACATTCAAAATCAAAGAGCAAATTTAAGGTGAGTAGTGAAAAATTTTATGTGGGAAGGAAGGACGTCAAGAAAGCCCAATGTAAGTTGCTTACAAGATTATTTGGCCTTGTATGAACCAATCCATAAATGGAATGTCTTGCAAACATATCATAAAATCAAACGACATATTGACAAGACTCTAAACTTAAATAACTAGGTAGATAAGCATGTAGAATGAAACAAAGTTGAAACTATTACTTTGCTTTCCGGCCAGACCTCCGCCGTGTACCATTGACAGATTCATTGTCACCATCTCCAGTAGCATCCTCACCAAGCGCAGGCGCCATAGACTTGCCTTTTGGTTTAATAGCCTTTGGCCTTGGCCCTTTCTTCCCCTTTTCCTTCAAGGGCTTCAATTTTGCTGCATTGACCGCAACAGAAACCGGGCGGGCCTCAGCCAAATTTTCTGCTGGTTGATTATCTGGTAAGGTTAGATCTGATTCGTCTGATAAAGCCAGGTCCTGCAGTGCAGAAGAGATCGATTCGTGTAGCACTGGGGCTAATACTGGAATAGCGTGCACTTGAATGGGTAATGGTACTGGTGGAGTGCTGGTGCTGGAGATGGGTACAGTAGGGAACAATGGCACCAGTGGCGCTGCGCTGACGCTGAAGACAGGAACACTGGACCCTTCATCCATAGCCCGCTCGAATTCTTCTTCCCATGTGTTGCTTGGACCACCTTCGTCAGGAGCGGAGGTATGGTGTATAGAGGAGGAGGAGGATGAAAAGAGAGAGGTGTTGAAGAATGCGATGACCTCTTTTGACCACTTGTCTCCACTCATTAGACGTTGATGGTACCAATTGTGGTAATCACGATATGGGATCTTGCTCTCGGTGCCAACCGGAACAAGGTCCTTATCACCAGATAGAATAAATATCGCCTTTGCAAGAGATTCAAAATTAGCATTGAACTTTGAAAACTAAATTGACTTACGACAACGGCAGCTGCAGCTATCATTCCAGGAGTGATCGTGCGCAACTCCCAAATCTTGGCCTTTGTTTTTCCAGCTGGGATGGTCGTAGAGGCTATTGAAGCCTTGCCAAAGATGGATACTCTCAAGACCTACCACATGTGGTTAACAGTGTCTTTAGCATAATAGGGAGAACGGAGAAAGTAAATACATACCTTAACAACCGCTGCAGTCTTCAGAAAGTCTGATACCATAGGTTTCTCAGGATGAGGGAACAAAACCGGTGCAAATTTGGTGTGCGAACCAGCTGGATTTACAATCAGCGTACGGCATTGCTGTTCCTCGCGTCTGTTGTAGCCTGCAAGGAAGATGTCTGAGCTCATGCCGAAGATGGAGCCAGCACATGATTTCACATCTGAAAGCATTTCAGAGCGAACAGAGTTGACGCCCTTCGAAAACTAAGTGAACCAGATTCAGTCATTATTAATCTAATAAATTACACGCTTACAGGACCACCAAAGTCTTTGTGGCTCATCAGCTCATGATCAGTGTCGGAAATGAACTGAAATAGTTCTGCTTTGACGCCATCCTCGATTGCAAGTGCAGAAAGCCAGCGCTCCTTGCTGGAGAGGTCGATGGTAGGACATGTCCGTAAAGGGAAGATATGGACATCAATCCACAGACAATGCGTCATAGAATACTTGCGTCCATAGGCCTTGATGGTGTCTTGCTTTGCAGCTAGGGCTAAGTTGCGTCCTGTGAGTTTCTTTCGGCCATGAGAGACTGAAGCCTCAAGGAGTGCGTTCTTCTTCAGAAGCTCTCGACACCAGCTGCGCATGTTCAGAAGAAGCTTTTGCGAAGTTTCAAGTGCCTAATTTGAAAGAACTGATGAGTGAGTATTAGACGATAAAGCTATTGGATATACCTGTCGCAGCTCTTGAGGTGTTGCATCATCCGAAACTGGTGTGAGTGCAACACGAACTTGGACAAGTTCTGCGTCAGAGTCACATGAAGACTCGTCAGAGTCAGATTCTGAGGGCTCGAGATCAAGCACATCTGAGTCATTTGAGTCCAGTGGTGGAAGGTTACGGTCTTGGCGTTGAGGCATGACGGTGCACTGTAGATTGAGAGTCTGAGTCAATGAATACTGTTGCTAACAGAAGAGAGCAGCAGAGTAAAGTAAAGAAATCCAACAACTTACCTTTATACTGATACGGCTAAGTGTTGATGTCGAGTGGCAACATCAACAGGCCATGTATGTTGATGCGCCACCTTGTATGACACAAACACAAGTAAGAGTAATATCACTGTAATAATATGTAAGAACAGTGACACAACAGCAATCAACCAACCTGTTACAATGAGGCAGCGTAATAAAGCTGGCTGTGGTGAAGTTATAGCGTCTGAATTGAATTTAAATCTTATTAGTATTAATAACGACGTAATTACATCGCAGCAACACTGCAACTTACTGAGTGATTCTGAAGGGGTGGTGGTCCTGGAGTATTGTAGCCCAGGGCATGTTCCAATTGCGAGAAATCAATCAAATGAGGCATCAGTAAGTATCTGGAATGGGAACTCAATCTACTAATCACCTTTTCATATCCGCATTCATTATGCTCACATCCAAGGTCATCTGTGACGACACTTACTCCAACAAATCCTGGAGTATTGTAGCCCAGGGCATGTTCCAATTATGAGAAATCAATCAGGTGAGGCATCAGTATCTAGATTATAGAATGAGAATTCAGCCTAATCACCATCATTACTGGCATTCACCATCCAGCAACTCAAAGTGCGCTGTCCTACTGCTCAGGGATCTTCAGGTCACCGTCTTTTCATATCTGTATTCACGCTTACACCCAAGGTCATCTGTGACGACACTTAGTGAACAGTAGACAAAGAATGGTATAAACACGCAGCAACACAGTGGGAAGACGTGGTGGATGCAATTGCGGCAGTATCTCGTGCTTAATAGATGTAGATGTAGAAATCAAAATAGAAATTTTCTCTGAGAACGAAGAAACATATCAGGATCGACAAAATCAACAAGAAAGAAGTCTCCATCATTATTGAAATCAGGAACAAGCAAGGCACCATGAATGATTGAATGAAGGGAGACAAATTCAGAAGATGCTGACGGTCGAGCGTGCAGCCGAGTCAATCGTAGATCACGATCAACTGTGCGACATGCACCAAGCGGAGTATCCATGGGGAGCACGAGGGCAAGATCCAAGGATTTGTTGCCAACCGTGTACTTGAAGATGAACAGTATCCGAACAAATATGTTCTTGTTGTTCCTGTCCTTGTCGAGTGTACGAATCAGTGCGCAGTCATACCTTTCGTGCCCATGGAAGCTTGGATTACACCGTAGGTAGTCGGTGGCCAATTTCCAATCAACAGTTGATTCATAATTCACTTTAAGATAGCGATACTCTTGGAGCTATGAGAAATAATGTAGTTGAGCCAATCTAATACCTGTCACGAGTTCCAAATACAAACCATTATTCGTTCCTAAATTCTAAGTCCTTTAAGCGCCCAGTCACAGCGCCTGTTTCTAAGAAAGTGTTTACTGTTGAAGAAGTTCCTATTATTGCGTCTATTGTAGAATTACCAGAGTCACGTGATCTATCGGACAATGCCGAAGATGTTGACGTCATGCCTCGCGACACTCTTGGAATGTTCCAGAGTCTTACTGCGGCTGCGGCACATGTTATGACATCATAGTTATATATAGAATCATACAATACCTTTAATTATTCTGATTGGTTAGTTAGTTCATACTCAGTTTCAATCTCAGTTTCAATATGTGTATATAGGTAGCTCGTCGTAGTCAGTAGTTCTTTAGTTCAAACCTCTTGTATCTCCAAGTGAGCAATACCAAGATGTACCTGCTGCCTACTTCCTCTGCGTGATTATTCTTTGTTTGAGTCCTAGTCTCTGCCCAGCATTAATTCGTTATTGGGTTGTGACATTAGGTTTGAACTATAGGAGACTCCAACTCTCGCGTTTAGCCATCACACCATCAACCGAAACAAAGCTGTTATACTTTTGCCCGGCTTAACCGCCGCGATCTTTGATTTCATCCCTTTGCTCATTTGAGTGCATTTTCATACCTATCATCTTTCTTAGTTAGTAGTCCTATACCAGGCCCTGTCTTACCGCAGCCGCCAGTATACGGAGGTGTTCACAACATTAGGCGTGTCACTGCAACTTTGAGTGCTGGCCCAAAACCCTGCCTGCTCAACGTTACTATAGTTTCATTTTACCTATTCCTTTCTTCATACGCACGTAGGCATTCGTTTCGAGTCAATAGCGGAACTGTCTAGACGACAAACTGTGCTTTTGACCTACGAGGATTTAGAGACATACCCTAGTGAGACTCGCACTTGTGAGCTTCGGCTGGAAGAGTGATAACTTGTCCTAGGCTTGTACCCTCAGAACGGAGATTGCATTGTCCCTAGTTTTTCCCACTTGATCGAGTATAGTTACGTATCCTTTTAGTTAGTATTAGGGAAGCATCGGTTGGGTTGATTAAAGAACCCTTCGATCCTGAAGTACGTGGTAGATCTGATCAGATATCGGGGACCGCTTCAGTTTTCCATTACATAACTTTCTTCTTTTCACCATCATTCCCTTCCGGAAGAGCCCTTACGAGCAGCTCTTCAACAGACATCAGTGAATCGGGTTCCAGAATACAACTGGCACTATGTCTGAATTACCAAATTCTCCTACACAGTCTGCACCGACAGTGGTGTTACCATCCACTCCACAGGAGGTTGTCGAGTACATTCACATGTCACTTGCAAACCAAGCGGAAAGCTTCAGGGTCAGAATCACAGAACTAGAAGCCAAGAATGCGGCTCTAGAAGAAGCAAACAGACTCCTGGGCGTACGCCTAGAAATGCAAGAAGACAAGACTGTGAAAATACAGTCACAACGACCATCCTTCGGCTCTGCAGGAACCAGCTTACTCTCATCGAACTCTTCCCCCTCCATCAAATATTCAAAACCCCAAGACTTCACTGGAGAAAAAGACTCCATAGAACTCATGGTCTGGATATCCTAAGTAGCGCTATACACTGCGCAATGGCCCAACATCCAAGAAGGCCAAAGGATCGGAGTAATGCTTTCCTTCATGAAAGGCACTGCAGCCAAATGGGCGCAACCTTACATCACTAAACTTGGAAAGACTGGAGACAAAAAGTTGACCGTGGAGAAATTCCTGGAAGACTTAGAAGCCATGTGGGGGCAAGAAGATCGTGAAGGAAAAGCGATCAGGGGACTAGAATCCCTTAGACAAGGAGCTTCCTCGGTTCCAGAGTACGCAGCCGCTTTCAGACAAAAGGCTGCACACACCTCCTTTTCCGACTACGACCAGAGACAGAAGTTCAGATTGGGACTTCAAGACCGCGTCAAAATACAGCTTGCTCATGTCCGTTACGAGGACAAAAACACCATGAAGAAACTGGTGGAACATGCGATCCAAATTGGATGCAACTTCGAAGAGCTAGATGCGGACAAGAAGAAGACAACCTGGTGGACCCCTAAACAAGGCCCCAGAACCCCAGAATACAGACCTGGCCCTAGTAGGGAAAGCGACGCTATGGACGTCGACGCCAACAAACAGCGAGGTGCTCCAAAACCTCAAGGAAGGACTGGATCCTTCAAATGCTACCGCTGTGGAGGCGAAGGCCATATGGCTAGAAACTGCAAAGACGCAGTCGCACCAAAGGTGCAGGTGAAGGCTACTACAGTGCCAAAAGAAGAAGACCCTATCCCAAGTTGGTTCAAAGCTTGGGTCAGCTCCAAAGAAGGCAAGGGTTTTTAGAGGGGTCGAAGTCAAAGTCTGCGAACTTAGACCTGAACAATTGTTTCTCTATCCTATCTACAGTGGCTCAAAAAAGTGTCCCAATGTTTGTAGCTTTTCATGTAATTGCTATATCATGTGTCAAGACGTGGGAATATGACTAAGCTATAGGGAGATGTCGGAAAGGTCTGCATCTCAGCTTTATTTCGGTTCCCTATACCGTGGGAAAATAATGACATTATGTGAAGATATGAGTATTTTAATTTGATGACTCATTGGGACACTTTTTTGACTTTGAGTTTTACTAATGTAATCTCTATAATTCTAGTACTGTGTGTGACCTCCTTCTGCTCCAATCACTTCTGCCACTCTTCTAAACATATTCTCTATCAATTTTGGATATTCCTCTTTGGTGATTCCATCATACTCTGCTATAACACTGTCTCATAGTTGGAATAGCCCCTATAGTGAATCTTGATATGCTACAAGTAATTTCTTGAGTGATTCTCTCAGGGGTATTCAATATGGTTGATGTCTTGGGTCTATGTTGAACATGATAGAATAGTAATATTATGGTCTTTAAGTTATTTGGTAGCCAATCTAGAAGGTTGCTCTATAAGACTTAAGATCTCTTAATCACTATATTCTAATTGGAAAGACTGCTGATGCTAATAAAGTGATTAAATTGATTATTTCCATCATTCCTATGACTATCTCTACTCAAATAGTCAGACAGACTCTCAAGACAGCCCATCTTAAAGCTATAATCAAGAAAAACAGATTCCTCTGTCTCCAACCTATAAAAATAAAAGACAAGATGCTACTTTCAAGTACAAATATCGGACTGCTAATAGCTGAAAGAGGTTTATCTAGTTAGATAAGGTTAAAATCAATAGGATGAAATCATATGGCAAGGAATTTATATTAAAATAGATAGGACAATCATTAAGATAAAGAAAAGTTAAATAAACACCTTAAGTTTCAAGACGAAAACTTGATGGTATAGGACTATATGAGATAAAATGGAGTGGGAATCTTCTATGAAGCAAAGGGGAGGATGAATACAGAGTAGTAAATACTCATTTGACAGGAGTGTCTGCTAAGAAGCATGCAGAAGTTATGAGTTAATGAAGAAGATACTGTTTTGTGATAAGACAATGACCCTAAGTATACCTCTAAATAAGCCACCAATAGCTTGAAAACCATGATATTACTATTCTATCATGTTCAACATAGACCCAAGACATCAACCATATTGAATACCCCTGAGAATCACTCAAGAAATTACTTGTAGCATATCAAGATTCACTATAGGGGCTATTCCAACTATGAGACAGTGTTATAGCAGAGTATGATGGAATCACCAAAGAGGAATATCCAAAATTGATAGAGAATATGTTTAGAAGAGTGGCAGAAGTGATTGGAGCAGAAGGAGGTCACACACAGTACTAGAATTATAGAGATTACATTAGTAAAACTCAAAGTCAAAAAAGTGTCCCAATGAGTCATCAAATTAAAATACTCATATCTTCACATAATGTCATTATTTTCCCACGGTATAGGGAACCGAAATAAAGCTGAGATGCAGACCTTTCCGACATCTCCCTATAGCTTAGTCATATTCCCACGTCTTGACACATGATATAGCAATTACATGAAAAGCTACAAACATTGGGACACTTTTTTGAGCCACTGTACGTTCTCGGATGTATCAGAAGTATATATTAAATCCAAATCTGAACATTTTTACATTCCGATCACGTTGAAGGGAAAGAATCGACAAGCAGATGTGAAAGCACTGGTAGATTGCGGTGCATCGACATTATTTATTAGCAAAAAGTTTGTGAAAAAGAACGAAGTCCGGTGCCATAAATTATTAAGGCCCATTCCAGTTAAAAATATCGATGGCTCGTTAAATGCCGCTGGATCGATGACTCATTACACTGAATTAGGTCTAAAGATCGGTGACCATGTTGAGGATCAAGCAGCCTTCATGGTTACGGACTTAGGAAGCGATGACGTTATTATTGGCATAGATTGGCTAAGATATCACAACCCAGAAATAGATTGGAACGCTGGACGTTTTGCACTTTCTCGTTGCCCAGTTAAATGTATTACTAAAAAAGAACAAAGAAAAAAAAATAAAGAAAAAAGAAAAGAACAAAAAAAGATAGAAGAAGTGCCAGATCTGATTCCCACAGAAGAGGATGACGAAGAAGACATGGCGATGAAGAGGGCGACAGTTGAGGAAATAGAAGACGAAGAGTATCCTGGAGAATGGATCAAGTATAAAGCCTCGGTTGCCACGGAGCAGAAGGTTGCAGAAGAAGCAACGAAGGTGAAGAAATCGGTCGAAGAGATGGTTCCCGATTGGCTTCATGAGTACCTGGGAGTTTTCTCAGAAGAAGAATCTAAGTGCTTCCCTGAAAGAAAGAAATGGGATCATGCAATAGATCTTAAAGATGATGGCGATCTTCCGCCGAATGCGAAACCCTACCCTTTATCACCTAAGGAGATGGACACTTTGAAAGATTGGTTAAAAGCTGAAACTGCACTGGGACGTATAAGAAATTCACAATCTCCAGTAGCAGCACCTTTCTTCTTTGTGGCCAAAAAAGATGGCAAGTTGAGACCGGTGATGGACTATAGAAAGCTCAATGAGAAGACGGTTAAAAATGCATACCCGCTACCGAGATCTCAAGATTTAATTGATGCTTTAACCGGTGCCACAATGTACTCCAAGATGGATGTAAGATGGGGGTATAATAATATTCGCATGAAAGAAGGAGATGAGTGGAAGGCGGCCTTCAAAACGCCGTTTGGTCACCATGAACCAACCGTGATGTACTTCGGTTTAACAAACTCTCCTGCCACATTTCAAACCATGATGAACGAGATATTCAGAGATTTAATTGATGGAAAGACCGTAGTTGTCTATATCGATGATATCCTCGTGTTCACAAATGGCAATAGGGAGCAACACCGAAAAGTTGTACGAGAGGTACTGAAACGACTAAAAGAGAATGATCTGTATCTGAAGCCTGAAAAGTGTAGCTTCGAACAGACAGAAGTCGAGTTCCTCAGGTTGATAGTGGAGAAAGGTGGTGTTCGAATGGACCCTGTGAAAGTAGAAGGAGTAATGAAATGGCCTGTACCCAAATGCGTCAAAGATATCCAAGCATTTATAGGCTTCGCCAACTTCTACAGAAGATTTATCTTCGGGTTCTCAGACATCGCTAGACCAATGAATGATTTACTATGGAAGGATGTCAAATGGGATTGGACGGAGAAACAGCAAGATGCTTTTGATGAACTGAAGTCAAGGTTTACATCAGCTCTGATCCTAGTAATGCCTGACGTTGAGAAGAAAATGAAAATAGAAACCGATGCTTCTGATTACGCAACTGGAGCGGTTCTATCTCAACTGATGGAAGATGACCTATGGCACCCCGTGGCGTATTACTCTAAGTCAATGAACGATGCAGAAAGAAATTATGACATCCATGACAAAGAGTTACTCGCAATCATTCGAGCGTTGGAGGAGTGGAGGCACTATGTGCAGGGAAAACCTCACCATGTGGAGATCTGGACGGATCATAAGAATCTCGAGTATTTTATGACGAGCCAAAAGTTGACAAGAAGGCAAGCCAGATGGAGTTTGTTCCTGGCGGAGTATGAATTTACGCTCCAACATAAGCCTGGTGTAGTCAACGATAAGGCCGATAAGCTTTCTCGGGGAGAAGACCACAGGGGGGGGTAGAAAACGACAATTCTGATCGTATTTTGTTAAAACCGGAGTTTTTTACTGTAAAAGCTGCTAAAAGAGGACAAGTTCTAGTGCAAGGAGAAAAACAATTGCTGAGAAAGATAAGGCAATGCACAGAACGAGAGCCCAAAGTCGCTAAAGCGCTACAAACGCTAAAAGCAGCACCGGTACAATTGCGTAGAGGAGTCGAAGAATGGAATGTGGAGGATGGATTGGTGTTATTCCGAGGACTGGTTTACGTTCCAAATGATAAAGAGATCCGCCGAGAGATATTGGAGTTGTTTCACGACTCTCCACCGGCTGGACACCCTGGACGTGCCAAAACCTTAGAATTGATTTCCAGAAATTATTGGTGGCCTTCAATGACGAAGTATGTCCACGATTACGTAGATGGCTGTGATAGATGCAAAGCAACGAAGATTCACCCAACGCAACCACATGGTCCGCTTAAACCAAATGAAATACCAGTGGGACCTTGGCAATCAATCACTTGTGATTTGATAGTAGATTTGCCTAAAAGCGAAGGGTTCGATTCTATTTTTGTTGTCGTTGATCGATACACGAAACAAACGCACATCATGCCCACAAAAAAGGAAGTTGATGCTCGAGGAATCGCGAAACTTTTCCTGGATAACGTATGGAAACACCATGGAACTCCGAAACAGGTGATATCGGACAGAGGAACACAATTTGTTTCCAAGTTTATGGGACAAGTGTCAAAACGCCTAGGCATAAAATGGAACATGTCGACGGCTTATCATCCTCAGACAGACGGACAAACAGAGAGAATCAATCAAGAAGTAGAGCAATATCTGAGAATGTTCACATCTTACCGCCAAAATGATTGGGTAGACTGGCTTCCGATAGCAGAATTCGCTCACAATAACTCTGTCACTGTAACGGGTCATAGTCCATTCAAAGTACTCTACGGATACGATCCAGAGTTTACTTTTTCACCAATTTCCAACTCTAAAGTACCTGCAGCAGATGAACGAGTGGATGTAATGAAAGAGGCAAAGGAAGACGCAGAAAGTATGCTGCGAATGGCGAATGAGCGGATGAAAAGATTCTACGATAGAGGAGTAAAAGACGCACCACAATTCAAGAAAGGAGATCTGGTCTGGCTCAATGCCAAAAATATCCGTCAGAAAAGACCAAATAAGAAACTCTCCGATCGATGACTTGGTCCGTTTGAAGTGCTAGAGAAGACGGGTGACGTAAATTACCGCCTGAACCTTCCAGCAAAATATCAGATTCATCCGGTATTCCATGTAGAATTACTCACTCCGCATTCCCCCTCGACCTTAGTCCAAAGACTTCCACATCATCGTCCGCCGCCAGAGATCTTATCAGAAGGCGATTCTGAATGGATAGTACGAAAAGTCCTAGACTCGAGACTGCACAGATCAAAACTCCAATACCTAGTAGAGTGGGAAGGATATCCGATAGAAGAAGCGACATGGGAACCTGAGGAAAACCTTGAGAATGCACGGTTGAAAGTTCAAGAATTTCACCGGCAAAATCCGAAGGCATTGAATCCCCACAAAATTAATAAATCGGTGTTCGGAACCCAAGAGTTTTTGGAATGGCGCAAAAGGTTTATTCGTCCTAGTTTCATTCACGATGACACTCATCCTAGAGAGGGGGTAATGTCACGAGTTCCAAATACAAACCATTATTCATTCCTAAATTCTAAGTCCTTTAAGCGCCCAGTCACAGCGCCTGTTTCTAAGAAAGTGTTTACTGTTGAAGAAGTTCCTATTATTGCGTCTATTGTAGAATTACCAGAGTCACATGATCTATCGGACAATGCCGAAGATGTTGACGTCATGCCTCGCGACACTCTTGGAATGTTCCAGAGTCTTACTGCGGCTGCGGCACATGTTATGACATCATAGTTATATATAGAATCATACAATACCTTTAATTATTCTGATTGGTTAGTTAGTTCATACTCAGTTTCAATCTCAGTTTCAATATGTGTATATAGGTAGCTCGTCGTAGTCAGTAGTTCTTTAGTTCAAACCTCTTGTATCTCCAAGTGAGCAATACCAAGACGTACCTGCTGCCTACTTCCTCTGCATGATTATTCTTTGTTTGAGTCCTAGTCTCTGCCCAGCGTTAATTTGTTATTGGGTTGTGACAATACCATGGAGTAATTATAATGCACTTACTTTGTCTTGCGCAGCTGGTTTCAACCATACTGTCCCTTCCGGCAATGGGATGTTATGCGATGGGAGAAACTCGTTGATGAACTTTGTAAACTTATGGCGAAACCTGTCGAAAGTACGCCTAGATTGATTTTCTTTCTCTACGTCCGCAAAAGTAGTGGGTGATTGTGCGGAACCAAGGTAGACATGTCCTGAGAAAGTGTCGTCATCCAAAGTGTCAGAATCTTCATCCTCGAGTTCTGACAAATCATCAAGGTGGAAAATGCGACCAGAGATCATTTCAGAGACAAAGCTCTTATGATCCAGTTTGAGAATCTGTATCATTGTGGTGGCATTAGAATAGTAGTGACGATGTTAGGACTGTAATACCTGGCCTGCAACTTCCTTGCGATTTGTTTGAAGCGAATACATTCATTTGAGTGGCCTGTGACATCCTTCATTCGGTCGTGTGCTGAAGTTGCGAGCGGCACCTTTCTCCCGGATGTCCTGGAATATGTGTTTCGGGGAATGCATCTTTGGGAAATTCCAACTCTTTGTTCCCAGTTCTGTGTGACGTGCAGCGATTATATAATCCTGTAGTAATTTAATTCAACTGAGCATTGAAGAATGAAAAAAAAACTATGTACCGCCATGTGTTTCTGGAATACAAGAACTTCGGCTTCTCCAGCGGCGATGGTACTCTCTGTGTGAACATCAAGGGATATGTACATGTCAATATGAAGGTAGCTGGCTATACACTTCAAGAGTGCATAGCCAGCCTTGTCCTCTTCCTGTGTTAGCACATTTTGAGCTGCATAAAGTAATTGCTACCCCAGGAGACGTGTAAGAAAGTATTGTATTGATAATATAGAAAATTGACGCACCTTTGAAATATCTTGAAGCTTGTTTCCATCGCTATAGCTGATATTTGTGACGCTGTTGAAATGATTGAGATTTCGCCACCGTGGGAAGGCAGTGAACCTTGAGACAGGAGATAACGATTGAAATGAGAGACTTGAAGACAATATACGTCAAATTTTGAATACTCACTGATTATCCACTTGTTTCAAGGCGCTGCGCCCAAGATTCTCCAACAGCTTCTTAACCTCAGTCCAAAGATGTTTACCAAACAGACCACCATGGAAGGCATGCAACGGATCCTGCGAGATTATTTCATGAGGGTTAGAGTGCCGAACTTGCCAGAACGAGTTCTAAATGCCACATCAACATGAGAGAAAGACATTGGGGTAAGGTTACAGTAACGTACCTCAACAGGTCGAAGACTCTTCTCTTTCAGGGCCTCTTCTCCAGCGACACGATCCTCCTGGTATAGCTTGAGGCAATCTTGTGCATCCTCCACTGTCCGGATGGGGTATGTTGCAGCATGGTCAGAAAGTTTAGCTGTAGGGACAAGGCAGATGGGACAAGGACAATTGGAACCTGTCCTCCGTATCAGCGCCATCACGCACCTGTCAATAATATAGTATCAGAAATACACATCACAAAGGGAAGAAAAATATATTACTGCTCTTCATAGTCAGCCGACAAGAGCAAAATGAGTGGGAACAACCAGCGCATGATATTATCGAAGTCGGAATGGTGCGCGAATCCCGTTTTTGAGAAAATTATGACCAATTCCAGTAGCTTCAAGAAGGCTTTATGCCATACCACGCGCTTTATGTTAGTATATGATAACTTTCCACTTTGCTCAGCATCCTCGGGCACCTGCAAGAATCCCGCTTCATTATTACTGAAGCATAAATTTAAATGAAGTGAGAGTACTTACGATAGGTAGCCAGCCAACAACTCGACCACCTCCCATTCCAGTGGTATTTCTGATGTTGACCGGCAGGTTCCCGCAACGGGCAATCACCGGATACCCTTTGACAATACCAGATGAGGACAAATGAGTTTTGTCGGCGTACAGAATGATCGCAAAGGGCACCCCATCATTAGGTAACTTCGACTACAATTTAAAATCAAACCAACATGTCAATGATATCACTTATTAGCGACATTTGTACACAGTATATTTACATTATGCACATACTTGGATGTGCCACCACCTGTCTGCAGTCCATGGCTCATGAATAAAACGTTCATACCGAGTGCCGTTGTGTTTGAATAGCCGCTGGGCATCCCATACAAAGTGCAGGGCCAACAATGGCTCTTGCAGTAAATCTAGCGCCCAGTCCCATAGTGATCATGTATATACTTCGAACTCGAGCTTGTCTTGCTTGTGATCTACAGAGATAGTATGCTGCTCAAACTACAACATTAACTAGCCCATTAGAAGCTCGACCGGGGCGAAGTAATAAAGAGTACTCACTGGTGTCAACTGGGTTGCAGCGGTGTCCCAGGCTTTGGACACATCATTGTGAGACCTAAATGTTAGCCTTGCATGACCATCCACAATGTTCTGAATGAGCCGCAGTAGCTCATCAGTCTGCTCCTTGTTGAGAGCGGCTTTGTGTGTCAGCGAAGCAAATTCAAAGTCTGCACGAGACGCAAAAGGATGCCATGGTTCACGGTCATCAAACTTTGGTTGTGCGTGTCCATGCCCAAATGCAGAAAATGTTTCGACCGAAGTGGGGCGACCACTATTTGGATGATATTCTGTCTTGAATGAGTCGATATCAGGGTGAGCAGCAGGACGAGCTGAGTTGTAAGGCACTGGTCCAGGAATGCTTGCCATACTTGTGTCTGAACCCGAACCTGCATTTAGAAATAGTCAGTCACGAAGATCGCAAATAGTAGCATATTATGTACTCACGTTGTCGTGGGTCAGCAACATCCCTGGCAATTCCGACATCGTCATGATCACCTTCATAGTAATCATAGTGTGATATATCGACAGGACCTGCACTGCCTTCATCAACGACCCGAGTGCCCTCTGAATCAGACACGATGTCTGTTACTGATTGGTCCAGGGGCTGCATGGAGACCGCACTAGCATGCTCCTTTGCACGCTGTTTCTTCTTGTGATGGCGTGCTGCATTGATCAAATAAGCTGATTCAGTTACAGTCAGACAATAATAACAATAGAGAACGCACCTTTTTCTTGCGCTTCAACTGCTCGCATGGCTAACTTTGCAAATTCTTTCCTCTCTTTCTTCTTCTCTTGTGTCTTCAAGCAACTCCTCTCATGTGATGCAACGCCTCGGGATGTATATGGCTGATTGCAGTATTTACACTTCACCTGAACGTGATTCCAGTGCCTCGATGACAATGAACCTTGTGCCTGGTCCAGGGCTTGAGCTGACCGTACCATCGTGAATGAGTACAATATAAACAGTATTTGAGGTTGGGAGGACGGAGATACAGTTACAACACTTGGGCGTTGTTGATCAGATGCTGACAAAGCAACTTGAGCTTGGAAGCCAATTGGAAACATGCCGTCCTTCCTTTGTAAGCAGCCAAAAATATGACTGGGCCCTTGAAAGTACCAATAATATCCTATGTTCTATGGAATGGTCTTGGGTTACGGCTGCATTGTGCTTGGAAGATGCCGAAATGGTGACGCAAGAGAGAAGCCTTCCAAGGCACATTTATATTTTTCCGACATAACACACTTGGCCGACTGGCACAAGTTGTTGGTGGCGCGAGAGTTTGACCTTGTTTGTATCTCCCGTTTGTATCAGCTCAATAATAAAGGCAAGGGGAAGATTCGAACGCGGGTCGTAAGGCAAAAAAGGTAGTATAGCTTACCACTACACCATAGTAGCTGTGCTTAGTGACATTATGATAGACATATCACCCATTGGCAAGACTGCACATACTTGGGCCGGCTCACATACACAAGTATCACAATAAGTAGACAGATCAGCCCAAGAGTCAATTATTATTTTGGCTCATACACCGAGTATATTAATATAAATGCAATTGTGCAATGAGTTCAATATCCGGCTGTTGTTAAAACAATATACTGGTGAGCGGCTTGCCAATGGGTGATATGTCTATCATAATGTCACCAAGCAAAGCTACTATGGTGTAGTGGTAAGCTATACTACCTTTTTTGCCTTACGACCCGCGTTCGAATCTTCCCCTTGCCTTTATTATTGAGCTGATACAAATGGGAGATACAAACAAGGTCAAACTCTTGCGCCACCAACAACTTGTGCCAGTCGGCCAAGTGTGTTAGAGTCCAAAGTTGCGCTGTTTGAATTATTGTTGGTCGTATTTGGTTTGTGTGGCGGCACTCGGATGTACTCTCAACACACTGCCGATGGGTAGGAGTCTGGCTACTCCCCATAATAACTTCAATCAAGTTGAGCCTCTGGAATAGTTACGCTGATCGGAGTTTCGATGTGTCAGATGCCATTGGGACTCGGATATTCCCTTGCCAAGGCGCTTCTTGCTAGCTGTAAGGGGACTCTCAGATCTCGTACCCAGTTTCTACTACATAAACAGTTAGTATGTGTATAAACAGGCCCCTGCCCCCAGTGACTGTCGCTTCCAACGCCGAGGCTACCTCCCCAGAGCTCGAGGTGCGCCAACATGTCACTGGCATCACATGTAACCACTGCTCATCATTTCTGTAGAGTTCGAGTTATGTAGCAGCTGAGACACTCGGTGGTGCTATGCTTATTTTATTGTCCGCGCAGATGCTTGTGCTGGGACCATGCCTCATCGTTAGCGTTCGACAATATCACTCTAAACTCGTGGCCCAATCCAACGCTGAAACCAGCATGAATTTGATTGTCTTACAGGAGCGCGTACATGTACCGACTAGCAGTACTGTGTAGGAAATGGTTGCCGAGTGTTCCGCATGGAGGAGATATTTGGTCGAGGATCTTCGTGTTATGATGTCAAAGTATATTTTAGACGAGGTTTATGTAGACAAACCCATTTCTTGTTGTATCGCTACTGGGAGTCAGTAATCCAGACTTGCACCAACTAGCAAGCTGAAAAGCATGGTAAGAAGATGAAGATGAAAGCCTCGAGTACTGATCTGTCAACCTATTCATGAGGTATCGACTACACTTAGTCGCACCATTGTAGCGTGGCGCGCATGCGACTGCAAATCGTGCGTCGAATTTGCGTTTTTGCAAGATCTGTTGCAACTCATCCTGCTAAGCACGAATAAAGCACTGAACAAGAAACAAACATACATACAAATATTCATCATCGACACCGACGTTAGGGCCAGGAGATAGACGATCGAAAAGACAGCGTATCACTTCATGTGATCATCTGCCAGCTCAAGTACGTGGGTCTAAATTCGAAGATGTTTCAAAGGAACATTATAGGGTACCGTAGATTAATGCTTCTCACGTGGGCTGTTGTGACAACCAATTAAAGAAGATAACTTGTGAATAACAGGTGATATGCAAGACCACTCAACACAAGATGATCGTAAGGAGAGTGAGTGACTATGATCAATGATTCTATGGATGGATGGGGACACAAGGTATATCGATGATGAGAAGGCTCGGATACGACGCTTGGATGTTCAATTATGGCGGACAAAGTCCAACTCCATACTGAATGGACGCATGATGAATCAGAAGAGTGGGATGATCAGATAGGCTAGATAAGGCTTCGATCGGATACATCAGATACACAAACTTGAAGGGAGAGCAGGCAGGCATACTTGCCGAGAGTATCTGTCAAATGTACCAGGAATCAGATCCCCGATTTGCTACTACTTTGAGTTTTTGCGGCTGGCTCTGTTTTGTTTATTCGAGTTTACCTAAAGCCAGCGAATTCTCAGTGACACGATACGACAGAGTCTTGCTCGGGACTTACATGGTTGACTCAGGGCGTGCATAGGAAGCTATTGGATAGTCTCTAAATGGACTCGTCGCTGATGGCCCTTCTTCACGCTGTCCATCTTCGATGGCGTCCTTGAGTCAATCAAATCATTTATGCTGAATGACTGAGGGTCGTAGATGAGAGTGGAACAAGCCAGACAACAAGCCAGACGCATGCCCACCCCGATATCATCCATCTGGGCAGTAGGGAAGTAGTAATGAGTCGTGCGTGAAGGGTGAAGGTCGGCTGTCAATGTCCTCAGAAACTATTGGTATGGATTGTTGTGATGGGCGTCACACCAGATCGAGGTCCATTCTGTTTTGGGTGCTACTGGCACAATCAATCGCTGATCGACGTCTATTCAAGCATGATTCGACGATATCGAGCATGTCAATTTATAACAGACTTACGGGATGAGTATATGCCTGGCCCTCTGTCAAGAATGTATGCGCATGGCAAGAAAATTAAAAATGATGAGAAGGGAGTAGAGATGGGAAGCGGGCGTCAAGTCAGGACTCGGAAGGTATCAAACGCTCCTGGAAAAGTATCAGTAAGGCGCTGACTACAATATTTTGATATACATACTTTGATCAGATCACATCGACTCTATCATGTCACTACCTGAGCAAAGCAAAAGAAGAAGTGGCAGCGAATCGTGAAACCTTAGACGGCTGATACTGTGTCAGATCAGCACGCAGACTATCTGTGCTGGGCGAGGAGTAAAGCGCACCCGACAAAGTATCACTAATGCATCAGTTATCTGAGGACAAAAAATGTGGAATCATTGATGGAAGATGCATCCCGTGTTGATGGCTACCTTGTGTCCCGTATTGATGGTTACCTTGTGTTGATGGTCTAGATTGAGTCTCGAGGCATGTATGAATGATGAACGCAGAGTGAGGCAGGGATAGCGGCTGTCACAGAAGACGACACCATCGTCCCAAGTAAACACAGTTCATGCAGGGATTAATGGCGGCAGAGAGTCGGCCCAGGTTTGATTGTGCAGATGTAAGTAGTTTTTACAAGATGATGAAGGCGCAGACGGCGTTCAAGTTGCCGTCGACATTGTAAAAAAGACGCTCTAAAGGTCTCTAAATTGGGTCGTATAATGGACTATCAGATCGGAAATTGAGTTGGAGCTATGCCAAATAACGGAACGTATGATACTTACACGTGGATTTTAATCTGGTGAGCGGTGAGGCCGGGTCGGTGCAAACTTGCAAAGGGAGATTGAGTGGTATTCTTGATATTAAGACTGGGTACTGGTTAGAGAACGTTCTAGATATTGAAAGGTGGAACGTTGACCGTCATGTGCCCGCGAGGAGGAGGGTAAATCAATTACTTTGGGGAGTAGGTGAACTGGTATCATGGCCAAGTTCTTGTTCCATAAGCACCGCCCGCGTGAGAAGATTCAGGCAGTAATTATTAGTGCAAATCAAATTCTACTTTCAAATAGGCCGATCACCATCATGCCGATTTTGGCAAAACAAGCTGACCTCTGGTATATAAATGCTAGGTCGTCATACACACCCATATCCCCCATCCTCAAATATGACCGTAGTCTCAAATAATCCCAGCTGGTGGCCCTTGATCAATTTCAGTATTTTGTTCAGCTATTGGATAGGTTCGCCAAATCAGTTGGTTATGTCTTGATTTTATATTGACTTTTGGTTTCGCAGTTGCTGCAGCCTTCGTGGTGGTATACGATTGGGGTGAGCAGCACAGTGTCCTGAAATTGCTGATATTCTCATGATATTTCCAGTATTAACACTCGCACAAGAGGTAGGTTGATGCTATTGCCGTCGGCGCACCCAACTTGCTGACAATGGTGTCATAGATTGACCTCATTTGGGTGAGTCACAGAGTCCCATATCAGAACAAAAACAATGAATTCGTGACAGACCCAACGCTGGTCTCTCATGACCGTGCTGTACCTAGTCGTTCGTACCTCATTTTATACCATAGCATCGTTGGTGGTTGTGCTGACTCCAAAATGTTCTAGATACGCTATGTTGGAATATTATTTTCTGTGTATGTTAATCGAGGCCAAAAAGTAGTTGCTATACTGATAGCCCATCTCTCATTATCAGTGCTAGCGTTCTGGGTATGTCTGATATTCACCATGTTCCATTCTTTTGACCGCCGGCGCACAGAAACCATGCCAGTGGTCTCGCTGACAGATGCAGTGAGTATCCCGCAACCGTCTCATTTCCATCCAATAAATACATTCTTTTGTAGGAGTGAGTGCGATCTGACCATTGGACTTGGCTCCACATAATGATTCAATAGGTGTGAGTCGGAGCGTTTTATCCTAGTACGAGAGTGAACGCTAATCGGGTGTTTCAGGCAATATCATAAACTATGCAACAAATGGGGCAGTTGTGGTCATAACTGCCATGTTGGACGGTGAGTTGCCCAGCTGCGATACCTCAGTGATACTGACTCGAATGAAATACGATACAAGTCATCATGATTGCTCGTTTGCATGCCATGTATCAGAGATCTAGAAGAATGCTT